TCCAAGCATTGCTGTCAAAAAGTTCAAGAAATTCAGCTGTCATATACTCAAGAATGGATGCCAAATATACAGCAGTCACAATTAAATCAATTAAGCTCAACCTACACATAATCAATGGATCTAAACTATAAATTTCAACTAGCTACTAACAGAAATACCTCTCTAATCTTCAATTTGAACTTCTTGATGCACATTGGCTTGTGATGTTGTTGTTTCATGATCACTAGTATTAGAACCATCTTCATCTAAAACTCATAACCAATTGAAACAAAACTGCTAAATTAGACAATCAATCCCTACATAACCAAGCAATATTAAAATATTAAGCATAATAACTCAAAGCATTACCATTAAGATTCTCGAGAAAACCATGCAACCAATTCCTAGTGCAAATCAACATTTGGACATTTTCAGGAAGAGTGGAACTTCTATATTTGGTAAGAACACGCCCACCGATACTAAAAGCCGATTCTGATGCCACTGAAGTAATTGGAATACTTAGCACATCTCGGGCCATAATAGAGAGTGTGTGAAATCTATTCTCACTGTGCTTCCAATAATTAAGCACGTCAAAATCCTCCCCATCACCATATTTAGCTTTTGGTTCATCCAAATAAAGATTTAATTCACTCTTACCACCAACAATCATACTTTCATTCTCAAACCTTTCAAACTCCTGCAAAATTTGATATATCAATTATATAAACGAAACAACAATGAAAAAAATGACTAAATTAGCACGAAAGAACTTACACTTATGTATAATTTTGATTTTTTTGACCTATTGCTTTCACCACTTGACTTGTGCAAGAGATTGGATTTGATGGATGAATGAGAATTAGAAGCACTTGATCCTTTGAGATTGCTCACATATTCTTCATATAGCTTCTCAAACTTTTCTCTTATATTTTTAACCTTATTTTGGGAGGTAAATGGATCAATTTTTGTGTAACAAAAGTCTAAGAAAACAAGCTTCAAACGCGGGTCAAAAATAGCTCCAAAAGCTAAAACTGTACTATATTCCTTCCAATATTTGTCAAACTTCTCTTTCATCCTCAGTGACATATCACTTAAAGTATAATCATCATTATACAAGTTTTCGTTCAGTATGCACTCGATCTTCCAAACTTGTACAAAGTATAAGTTAGAGGTTGGATAAGATGAACCTGAAATCATGTTTGTAGTCTCGTAAAAGGGTTCTAGGAATTCACATATTTTATCTCATATTCTCCATTATTCACATGACGGACAATATTTGTAATTTCTATCTATCACTTGGAGAATATCACATTCCTTTTCATACTTAAGTGCACTTTCTAGCATCAAATATGTAGAATTCCACCTAGTTGACACATCTAATCTCAAACCAATGCTTGTGTCTATGCCTGCTTGTTCCACACAATCTTGAAACTTAATCATCCTCCCATCTGATCCTCTCACATACTTAACACTTTCTCTGATTTTATAAAGTGCTTCAGCAGCCACTTTCAAACCTTCTTGAACAATTAAATTAAGTATATGTGCAGAGCAACGTATATGAAAATATTCACCATCACACAACAAAGTATTCTGCAAACGGAGATGGTTTAACAATATAAGCTGCATGTTATCATTTACAGCAGCATTGTCCAAAGTAATGGAAAATACTTTCTTCTCAATTCCCCATTACTTTAAGCAATCAAATATAGCGGCTTCCAATTCAATCCCAGTGTGTGGAGGTTTCAGTCGAGAAAAATTAAGAATCTTGCTAATTAATTTCCATTTTTCATCAACAAAATGGACAGTTAAACAGATGTAACTCTCGCTATTAGATGTTGTCCAAACGTCAGAAGTCAGACATACTCTATTAGGAAGGCTGGACAAGAGTTGCTTAAGTTTGTCCTTTTCTTGGATGCATATTTTTTTAATATCAGGCACAATTGTATTCCTAGAGGGCATCACAATATCAGGATTCACATAATCAATCCACACTCTGATCAAATCATATTCAACAAAACTAAAAGCAAGATCATGTTTAATTATGGCTTGTGCAAGCAATTCTCGATGGGTCATTTGATTAACCTTTCTCAAGCTAGACTTTTATGATCATGATCCCTATCATAGATCCCCGAGTGAACACCTGCTCTATTCCTAGGGTCTTTATCTTTAAACGCATATTAACAATAAAATATTGGCGAGACATAAATATGATAAAGATAAAGTTTGCTCAAATTTTTTAATCATGATATACCAAATAGAAAAAAGTGTTCATATGATAAAACAGATTGTCTCTAGGACACCTATATACTAACAGTGGCATAGTGTCATCTTCGACCATGGATTGCGCACTTTGGGATGGTTGAGCTTTTCGTTTAGTTACAGCCATTATGATGCTAGGATTGAGGACGCTTTGTTGGATCACTGATCTATTGTTCACTGGTCCTTTTGTGCTGGCTAACTTGGATAAAATTAGTAGTCTTACTTTTTCAAGATATTTTATCATGAATGCTTCTTTCGCCTGGTAGCTTCCTTGAACTTGAGCAATTACTAATTGTGAATCGCTCTTGAGGATTATGTTTGTTGCCCCCAAGTCTTTGCCATGGCGAGTCCGGCGAGGACTGCTTCATACTCGGCTTGGTTGTTTGAAGCTTTAAACCCAAAGTGGATAGAGTGCTCCGCTGTTATACCTTGGGGGCGTCGCGATGTTAAGATGAGCGCAAAAGCAACCTTTTCTATTTGTTGATAGCGCAGCTCCGGTCCTTCGAGTGCTTTACTGACAAAGTAGTTTGGTTGTTATTCCTGGGCCTCTTCGCACAATAAGACAGCGCTTATGGCTTCGTTGCTGACTGAGAGATAGAGAACCAGAGGTTCATTTGGTGGAGGCTTGACCAGGATCGCGCTTTGGTTGGGTTGGCCAAGTGTCAATATCAGAGGCATGAGTTTTATGTTGTTAATGTAAAAGATGATGGTATATCGTTTTCTTATATAGTAGTTACGATGCTGCCTTAGTTAAGGCGGCTTGGCTTCTGAGTGGCCAGGCTTGGGCTGCAGGTCAGTCAGGGGACCTGAGTAGCCTTATCTGCTATAGTGTCTAGTGGTAGAGTCGTGGCGAGCTGGAGCTGTCCGTTGTTTATTGGAATCAAGGCGCGGTGGGGTTGCCTTGGGCCTTAAGTTTACTTCCTAAAGGGGGTTTCATACGCGATGTGGGTATCGCGTCTTGTCTGTCGCGATGAGGGCATCGCGTCTTGCGCGTTGTACTTGTCCTCTTCTTGTAGAGACTTTGAGCGGTGGCCTTGTTTGTCTTGTAGCATTTATTAATTTTTGTTCTTTTTTTTGTTTATAATTTTTTCTATTTTTTAATAAAAATAATTATGTAAAACAAAGCAAAAATAAAAATATATCCTGACAAAATAAGGTGTTCACAATTTTATTTTTTATTTTTCCTTTTTAATTTTGTATATTTTTTTATGTGTGAGGACAAAATTGAGTGGTTACAAAACCGTAGCAAGTAAATAACAATATTCACTAATGCTGAATTCAACTACATCTTAGGAGACATGAATCAGAAAACGCAACATAAGTAGGGGAGAATCTTAAAGTATTTGTGAATTACATTTTTGGTAAGTTTTAAAATGTCAAAAGAAAAAGTAAGTTTTAGATAATTTTTTAAGAAAAAATATAATACATAAAAGTAATTTATATCATAAAAATTTACTCATCTCCAAAATAAAAATTTTAAACATTATCTTACCTCATCATCTCCAAGGCTTTTTCTCGAAGGATCGTGTATATATCTTTTCTTGGTGACTCTTGTTTAATCGAAAGGAATTTCAATGATACGTTCATGCATTTGAGAACACGATCATCACAAACCTTTTAATAAAATAAAAGTATTATTCATATGCTGATTTTATATATAATATATATTTATAATATTTTTGAAAACAATGCCCTATAGATCTTACTTTTAACCTTGTGGTTATAATTTGAAGATATGAAGTTTGAGAATACAAGAAAAAAAAAATTGTGAGTACAAGAAATAAAATATAAACATGTTTAAAAAACCAATACTCCCCGTTTAGCTCTTTCCTTAAGTTGTGAATTCTATAGCCATTTTGAATTCTCACATAAAAAATATTTAACAAATAAAAAGTTCAATTAAATTTATAATACCTTTAAGTTTTGGAAATGAGTAGCCATTGTAGAACTGAGTTAAAGGATATCCATAAAATAATATGGGTTGAGTAAAATTTTAATAGGACTTGATAATTGTAAAACGTCGCATATCACCTTGATCACAATGGCGAAAGTTCTCCTCTCATAACCTAAACCAACTGATCAAAGGCAGGGTAAAAACGTAGGTTGGGAAGCCTTCCAGAACAAATACGTTGAAGACCGGGGGTGTTGGAGTGGATAACGATTGGTAGAAGCTAATGAATAACTATGGTTTGCAAGTATCTAACACCGCGGATCTTGCTAGGATGGCAAGATCAAGAATACCGTTGATGAATGTGAGTAGCCCGGTGCTGAAGTTTTTGTCTTATCAGGTTCTTGGTGTGGATTTTGAGAAGACCAAGAATGCTACTTTTGTGGAGGTTAGATTTGCAAATATTGGAGGTCTTTGACCCCCACTACATATATTTGTAGCATTCTTAAAGCACGTCAGTTTTGCATGCGCCGCAATATGATTACTGGTGTTTTGTGCTTAATTTGGTAGGAAAAGATGTTATCACAATGCATATATCTATTTAATATGAAATCAGCATATACATTTGGTTCATTACATGGTCAATCATACAAATGCAGTAGAAATATGAATACAAAAAAAAAATATACATTCTCCTTTAAAGACAGAAATGGTATCATTTATTCTCAAAGGAAGTTGGGCCACACTTTGATTGCTCCTGGTCTTATATCCTCAAAATGATATCTGAAAATAAATGTCAACAAAGAATAAATAAAGTAATAAGAAACACTATTAATTAACTATATTGTCGTGACTAAGATATATATTTATTACAACAAATTGTATTTCACCTGTTTTCGGTAAGGAAACTCCTCACAGCTAATGGAAGAACAGGTTTGCCTCGACTGTGTTTGCCAACACCTGAATAAAGAAGACAATTGAAAAATCAAAGGAAAACAGTAGGAAAAAAAAATTTATGCAAGGAAACCCTGAAAATATATCCATTTAGAAACAAATTTTTTATCATTGTATTAAATCAAACTACATTTTGTTTAGAGAAAGAACCTAAGTTTTTTATATTTTAAAAATAATAATAATATACCTGTTATGACTTCAACGGTTGGCCCATGCCCAACTTGTTTTGCATGGATTGAATCAACAAACTCATTTTCCTTATTATTTTTATTTGAAGGAAAATGTGTTCTTGACAAGCCCTTACTTTCGATTTTCTCCAAACGCTCACGCAATGCTTGTACAGCTTCTTTTGCATGGAGACCATGCAAATCCAATCTCCATAAGCCATTTGTACGATTTTTAAAATTTAAAATTTCTGTAGCTGCCTTACAGTCAAGCTCACGAGCCATCTTTAATTTTTCTCTTGCCTTCATGGAATGTTGTTTTGCATTTAAATGCTCACCTCTTAGGTAAGCTTCGTTAGCAGACTTAAACTGTTGAGAGGCTGACCTGAAAAGATAAAATAAATCAAGATATCAAAAGAATGTTGTAACATTTCTTGTTATTACTCAATAGATTTCAAAAAAATTAAAAGTGATTATTTTGACATTATTAATTTGACTACAGCTGAGATTGAGTTTAAGGGGTGAGTATTGAGATAAAAAATCCCACGGATTTTAAATGACATTTTAGAATTGGAGAGACTTTATAGACTTTTAAATATAATTTTCTCAATCAGTAAAACATAACGGGGAAGGATATACTTACTACCAAAAAGTTTACAACATTTACAACTAACTTAATCACCATTGACTTTTGTCAATCTAATAGTTATAATTTATCAGAAAATATTAGGTCGTATTTATTAATTCACAATAAATTATAACCGTTAGATTGAAGGAAATCAATGATGATTACGTTGGTTGTAAAGGTGGTAAAATTTTTTGGTGGGAAGTATATCCTGCCCCAAACATTAATATAATTTTTAACAAACATTCAAAATTACTAAACACCACCTTTTCACATATCTAATGTGTTGAAAATCATCTTCTTTATTTGGTATCAAAGCTATGCATATATGATTATAATACCCAATTTTTTAATTCTAAAAATAATTCTAAATTTGCATATAGAACCTAAAGTTCATGATAAAATTTCGTTTAGAATTTTTTGCAATTGATCTTGAAAACCTTGAGGTTTTTGGAATTTTTTTTTTTTGAGTTACCCAACCCTAATTATCTCTTTGAGACGAGTTGGCTCCCTCCGGTATCCCCACGAGCTTCGACTCTTTGAGTTGGCTCCCTCCGGTATCCCCACTAGCTCAATATTTAGCCTATTTTTTTTTTTTTTTTGGTAAGCATATTTAGCCTAATTTAACCTAATTTAAACTGATTCATTTATTACACAAGTCATCAGAAAAACAAATTACAGTATTTACCTTACATGTTCTTTTCAAATGTATGTTCAAGTAAGTATAATTAAAATCCTTATTTTTTTTCTTACAAAGAAAGGTATTATTTACTTATCACATACTTAGATAGAGATGTCCCGCCAAAATTTTAAAGGGTTTGGTCATTGACTTATTTATCAAAATAATTAAAATTATAACAATTATGTTATTTATGTAAAGAAAATTTACTAAAATGTCAGAATAAAATGTAAGCTTTACATAATTCTTTTGACAAAAATTAAAATTAAATTTGATTCATAAAAGTTTGCTCATCATTTATCATGTATATATCTTTCTTCTGTGACTCTTGTTTATTCGAATGAGATTTCAATGGTACATTAATGCATTTCAGAACACGATCATCACAAACCTTTTAATTAAAAAAAACAAAATTCGGTTTAGCTCTTTCCTTAATTTGTGAATTCAATAGAGATTATGAACGCTCAAATAGAAATATTTAACATACAAAAAGTTCAATTAAATTTATAATACCTTTAAGTTTTGGAAATGAGTAAGCAATGTAGAACTGACTTCAGAGATATCCATGATCCAGTGTGGCTTATATTTTGATAGGACTTAGAATTGTAAAATGTCAAAAAACCTTGTTCACGTATTAAAAATCAGGATTGCTAATTGGCTTCACGATCTTCTCTCATAACCTAAACCAATTCATCAAAGCCAAAGTCAAAACAAAGTTTGGGAAGTCTTCAAGAATGAATTCTGTTTTCTTGAACTATACAAGGGTTACTGGTGATTGGCGGGACAGTTTGGTGAAAGAAAGATAAAGAAAAGACTACAGATTAAAGAGAGAGAAAGATTTGAAATAAAATGTCAAAAAAACCTTGTTCACGTATTCAAAATCAGGATGCTTATTGGCTTCACGATCTTCTCTCATAACCTAAACCGATTCATCAATGCCAAAGTCAAAACAAAGTTTGGGAAGTCTTCAAGAATTAATCTTTTCTTTTCTTGAACTATACTAGGGTTACATGTGGTTGGCGGGACTGTTTGCATGGTGAAAGAAAGATAAAGAAAAGCTTACAGATTAAAGAGAGAGAGAGAACGATTTGAAATAAAATCAGGATGCTATTTGGCTTCACGATCTTCTCTCATAACCTAAACCGATTCATCAAAGCCAAAGTCAGGAAGTCTTCAAGAATTAATCTTTTCTTTTCTTGAACTATTACAAGGGTTACTTGTGCTTGGCGGGACGGTTTGTCGAAAGAAAGATAAAGAAAAGCTTACAGATTAAAGAGAGAGAGAGAAAGATTTGAATGAAGAAAGAAACGACCTCTTACACACTTATTTTCCATGTCCGCTCATTAAACCCCTATCATATTACACCTTCCCTTGCCACATCAGTTAAGCTCATGAGCCAGCTGTAATTTTTGTTTTTTTTTGCTATTGCTCACCTCTTATGTAATCTTGATTGGCATTACTAAATATTTTAACATTATTACTCAGTAGATTTCAATAAACTAAAAGTGGTTGTTTTGACATTATAAATTTATTAAAGGTTAGTTTGAGTTTAATTTCATTATAAATCTTAGCAAGTAAATAACACTACTAACTAATGTTGAATTAACCTACAAATTAGGAGGCATGCATCAGAAAATTCAACATAATTGGGGGAGCATCTCAAAGTATTTGAGAATTACATTTTGTTTATAATTAATTCAAGTTAACCCCCATCACAGCATTTAGTGGCGGACCCAAAAAATGTTGTTTATGTCGGCACACTTAATGACGTTGGTTTGGAGAAATTTTTTTTTAAAGAAAATTTTAAATGCATTAAGGGATAAGATATTGTAACAACCAAGTAGTGTTACTATCAATCAATTTCACCGTTAGACCGGTTATGCAATTCCAACGGTAATATTTATTTCCATCTTTGTATGGTTATAATTCCCCATATTTAATACTTTATATTTATTTTCACCTTTGTATGATTATGATTTTCCATATTTAATGCTTTCACTTTAAATATGGGGGGTCATAACTATACAAAGATGAAAATAAATATAACCGTTAGATCAACATAATCGATCCAACGGTAAAATTGATTGGTAGTAATATTGATAGTAACACTACTTGATTGTTACAATATATTTTCCCATGCAGGGATTAAAAAACAAAAAATTATAAATAAGAAAAAAAAACTTCACCTTAACATAAAAAAATATTCCAACACTTTTTTTTAATCAAACTGATTTGTTATATGACATCATAAAATGTACAATAAAACATATGACATCTCATTCCATCCTATCGTATTCCATTCATTTTCATTTCATCTCTCGTTGTATAACAAAGCCTAATATAACCAACATCACATTTTACTACTATACTCAAAAAAATAAATAAATTAGAACTTCATGTTTGCAACTGCGGACAGAAGTGACCATCTAGTTCCGCCATTGATAGCATTAGTCAAATATTACCTTCAATTTGACAAACAGATGAGTAAACACATGTATCTCTTTAAAAGTAGATAGTACAAATTTTAAAAAATAAAATAAAATACAAAATATGACTCAAAAGTGAGAAGTACTAGTAAATGGCCAATATGATAGTGTCATATCATGACTTTGTATATATTTGTAATTTTAAGATATTTTTATTCAGTCCTAAAGCCATTGACAAAACTATTGCCAACTATTACAAGGGTTACTTTTGTGCTTGGCGGGACGGTTTGTTGAGTTAGGAAGCAAGATATCAACAAGCTCAACAGATTAAAGAGAGAGAAACGTTCTCCTTTAATTGAATGAAGAAGAAACGACCTCTTACACACTTATTTTCGATGTAGTTCATTAAGAAGAGGTTGCTACAAGACTTAATGAGGCATTGGAAAAGGAATTGGAAATTGCCAAGGCTGATCACAATCTGATTCTAGGACCAGAAATTATTTTTCAACATACATATTCAAAAGCATTAACTGGATTGGCATTGACCATATCTTAACATGATATTACTCAGTAGATTCCAATAAAAGCCAAATCCCTTATCACATGACATTACTTATTTCATTAATTACAGAAGTTTAATTTCATTATAAATCTTAGTCAAGTAAATAACACTACTAAAATGTTGAATTAACCTACAATTAGGAGGCATGCATCAGAAAATTCATGGTTACTTGCTTATCTCATTAAACATGAGAATTACATTTTGTTTATAATTAACACCAAACCAGGAACTTAGCACTTCAAAACTCAAATGCAGATAACAAGAACTCAGAAGCAAGGTCCTATAACTCCACAAGGTGGCTCACACTTTAAGATATTTTCATGAAAGAGAGAAGAAACCATGATCAAAGGTGGTGTCTTTGGTAGAAAATGGAGAAGAAATACAGTGACAAGGTGGCTGGTCTCACAACTCAGAAAAACTCACGCTAGAGGCTCATCAAAATGACCTAGGATCATGTGCCAAGGCTATTTATAGCCACTTACGTTTTAAACACACAATATTAACTTTAATTGCTACACTTAGTATTTTAATCCCAAACTCAGGATTCTTAACCTACTCAATTTACTATATTTATTAAAGCCTCTTAATAATTATTAGGGTCAATTATGGAATTATTTCCTAATTTAACATAATTAATTACTTAATTTCCTTAATTAACGGTGCGAGTTCTTACAGGAGGCACGTATCAAAAAATGCAACATAATTGGGGGGAGCATCTCAAAGTATTTGCAAATTACATTTTTTTTATAATTAATTCAAGTTAATCCCTATCACAACATTAGTCAAATATTACCTTCAAATTGACAAACAGACAAGTAAACACATTTATCTCAAAAAAATAGGTAGATAGTATACATTTTAAAAAATAAAATAAAGTACAAAAGTACTGATAAATAAATGACCGGTTATTAATATAATAAAGTAAATTTAATTTCAATCTATTATCCAATCAAAATATGAAGTAATAAATGACTCAAAAGTTTTTAAATCACATTATTATAATGTTTCTACACTAATGGTAATTTTAAATCTTGTGATAATGCCGATTGCCAATAAGAATCATTAAATTAGTTATTCCAAGCATTACAACGTCGTTTTTATAAATGAAGTTGAAATTAATGTTTATCATGAGATAATTTTATTTCTTACACATACATAAAAATATGTGGGATGAATATTTTTATTTTTTTCCTATTCTCTTCACATGGCCTTACATATTTTTATGTCACTGTACGAGATAATATTATCTCCTACAATATGAGAATACGATCCATTATCTTCTTTCTCTCTTCTTTTTAGTGAATCTCAACCACTTTTGTGTTGAGATTTAAAATTATCATTACACATTTATTTTCATTTTCACATGAATCACTCTTCTTTCTCTTACACACTTATTTCCCACAACAGCTCACTAAACCCCTATCGTAACACCTTCCTTTGCCACAGTAGCTAACAGGTTATAATATTTAAAATTATTGTCGTTGCCTTACAGCTAAGCTGATGAGCCATCTGTAATTTTTCTTTTGCCTTCTTGGAATGTTGTTTTGCATTTATATGCTCATCTCTTAGGTAAGCTTCATTGGCAAACTTAACTGTTGAGATGCTGACCTGAAAAGATAAAATATATCAATATATCAAAAGAATATTTTAATATTTCTTGTTATTACTCAACAGATTTCCATAAACTAAAAGTTGTTATTTGGATATTATTAATTTAATTAAAGGTTAGTTTGCGTTTAAATTTCATTATAAACCTTAGCAAGTAAATAACAGTATTTACTAATGCTGAATTAACCTACAACTTAGGAGGCATGCATTAGAAAATGCAACAGGGAGCATCTCAAAGTATTTGAGAATTATATTTTGTTTATAATTAATTCAAGTTAACCCCCATAACAACATTAGTCACATATTACCTTCAAAATTTTGAAAAATAAAATAAAATACAAAATATGACTCAAAAGTGAAAAGTACTAGTAAATAAATGGCTGGTTACTAAATATAATAAAGTAAATTTAATTTCAATCTATTATTCAATCAAATAATATTATATTAGCTTTTGGTTCATCCAAATAAAGATTTAATTCACTCTTACCACCAACAATCATACTTTCATTCTCAAACCTTTCAAACTCCTGCAAAATTTGATATATCAATTATATAAACGAAACAACAATGAAAAAAAATGACTAAATTAGCACGAAAGAACTTACACTTATGTATAATTTTGATTTTTTTGACCTATTGCTTTCACCACTTGACTTGTGCAAGAGATTGGATTTGATGGATGAATGAGAATTAGAAGCACTTGATCCTTTGAGATTGCTCACATATTCTTCATATAGCTTCTCAAAGTTTTCTCTTATATTTTTAACCTTATTTTGGGAGGTAAATGGATCAATTTTTGTGTAACAAAAGTCTAAGAAAACAAGCTTCAAACGCAGGGCAAAAATAGCTCCAAAAGCTAAAACTGTACTATATTCCTTCCAATATTTGTCAAACTTCCAAATATGTAGAATTCCACCTAGTTGACACATCTAATCTCAAACCAATGCTTGTGTCTATGCCTGCTTGTTCCACACAATCTTGAAACTTAATCATCCTCCCATCTGATCCTCTCACATACTTAACACTTTCTCTGATTTTATAAAGTGCTTCAGCAGCCACTTTCAAACCTTCTTGAACAATTAAATTAAGTATATGTGCAGAGCAACGTATATGAAAATATTCACCATCACACAACAAAGTATTCTGCAAACGGAGATGGTTTAACAATATAAGCTGCATGTTATCATTTACAGCAGCATTGTCCAAAGTAATAAAAAATACTTTCTTCTCAATTCCCCATTACTTTAAGCAATCAAATATAGCGGCTTCCAATTCAATCCCAGTGTGTGGAGGTTTCAGTCGAGAAAAATTAAGAATCTTGCTAATTAATTTCCATTTTTCATCAACAAAATGGACAGTTAAACAGATGTAACTCTCGCTGTTAGATGTTGTCCAAATGTCAGAAGTCAGACATACTCTATTAGGAAGGCTGGACAAGAGTTGCTTAAGTTTGTCCTTTTCTTGGATGCATATTTTTTTAATATCAGGCACAATCACCTATATACAATAAAATATTGGCGAGACATAAATATGATAAAGATAAAGTTTGCTCAAATTTTTTAATCATGATATACCAAGTAGAAAAACCATGATAAAAAAGATTGTCTTAGGACACCTATATACTAACGCACTTTGGGATGGTTGAGCTTCGTTTAGTTACAGCCATGATGATGCTAGGATTGAGGACGCTTTGTTGGATCACTGATCTATTGTTCACTGGTCCTTTTGTGCTGGCTAACTTGGATAAAATGTCAGCTCGCGAGTTTTGCTCTCTGGGGATGTGCTCCATTTTAAAGCTTTGAAACTCTGTCAGTAGTAGTCTTACTTTTCAAGATATTTTATCATGAATGCTTCTTTCGCCTGGTAGCTTCCTTGAACTTGAGCAATTACTAATTGTGAATCGCTCTTGAGGATTATGTTTGTTGCCCCCAAGTCTTTGCCATGGCGAGTCCGGCGAGGACTGCTTCATACTCGGCTTGGTTGTTTGAAGCTTTAAACCCAAAGTGGATAGAGTGCTCCGCTGTTATACCTTGGGGGCTTTCCACGATGACTCCTGCACCGCTTCCTTTTACATTGGAAGCGCAAAAGCAACCTTTTCTATTTGTTGATAGCGCAGCTCCGGTCCTTCGAGTGCTTTACTGACAAAGTAGTTTGGTTATTATTCCTGGGCCTCTTCGCGCAATAAGACAGCGCTTATGGCTTCGTTGCTGACTGAGAGATAGAGAACCAGAGGTTCATTTGGTGGAGGCTTGACCAGGACTGGTGGGTTGGCCAAGTGTCCTTTGAGGCGGGAAGGAATCGGGTTAAGGCAGTGATTCTTCCCGTCAATTGTTGTAGTTCCTTTACGTTACGCGGGCTTGTCATGTTGAGTATGACTTTGCATTTATCAGGATTAGCCTTTATCCCGCGATGTGTTAGCATGAATCCTAAAAAATTTTCGGCAGGTACTCCAAACGAGCATTTGGCTGGGTTAAGTCGTAACCTGTACTTGCGCAGTTGTTGAAATACATGTTCCAAATCTTGGGGATGTTGTGAAGTAGTCATTGTTTTGACTATCATGTCATCGATGTACACTTCAAGCATCTACCCAATCTGCTGACTGAAAACTTTATTCATCATACGTTGATAGGTGGCACCGGCGTTCTTGAGACCAAACGGCATCATGTTATAACAATAGGTAGCTTTTTCCGTGATAAAAGTTGTGGCCTCCTCGTCTGGTGTGAACATTGGAATCTGGTTGTAGCCTGAATATGCATCCATAAAGGATAAAATCTGGTATCATGCGGAGTTGTCGACACGTTTATCAATGGTGGGAGTGGATAAAAGTCCTTTGGGCAATACTTGTAATCTGTACACATGCGCCACTTCTGTGTATAAAAGGCATAAAACATAATTAGCATCAATATCCAGTCATGCTAACAAATAAGCAGAAGCAACATAATCAGCTAAGCTCCGGCCTCCTGCCGCCTGAGGCATCAGTACCCATACTACCTGATCCTGAAATAAGCATTCCCCAAACGTGGGGTAAGATCTCTAATCTAGAAATCTCAGTAAGTCAGTGAGTCCTCAAGGATCTTCCACCCCAAGCTCACTTACATGTGCAATATAAGTTCAAAAACCGTTTATCATTTATCATTTCTAAAACAATGCAATGCAGCAGATAATCATGCCATGTGTGTCAATACTAATCTACTGGCCAGAGACAGTGCAGGTATACGTCTATCACCTATACACCGTGCAAGTACTACTTGCATTCACCCCGGTACACCGTCTTGTATGGCGCTACATACTCAGGCTTCCCGTCAAGATGAAACAACACATGCATATTAAAAGCCATTACATGTAAAGTTCAATCAACATATCAAATATCCAAAAGCATGTACACAACATGCATAAACCATACCCCCATGGGACATGGTGGAACCACAACATGGCTAAACCGAGGAAATGAAAGCTTACCTTGCAAGCTAACTCCAAAAGCCAAGAGTCCACAGCTCAAAGTCCAAACACAGCAGATTCACAATCTATTATGGACCAATACTATATTAATAATAATGCAACACAAGCATATAACTTAAAGACAACGCCTTTCCTTACGTTTTACGTCTTAAGGCTCCATACCAAACCATAAGTCCTTAATCACTTGATTCTGACTTAGTTTAATTAAAACAGAAGTTCAACTTCATCAATCTAGGGTCCCCAAACCCCCAATAGCCTACTGTCATCACAGCACAGCTACTGTTCTTCGAAATCCCAGAATATCCGGATATTCCTCGGGACCATATCCGGATATGAAATATCCGGATATCTCACTGGACATATCCGGATATACAATATCCGGATATCCAGAATCCCATATTCGGATATCTATTATCCGGATACTCAAAACCCATATCCGGATATTTCACGACAGAATGCAGAAAATACATTTCGTGAAGATATCCTTCCAAGGTTGGGTTTTTAACGATTTAAAGCACCTACACATGCATTTCTAGGTATGTTCAACATAACCCAACAACAAGTTATCATCTTTAAGCCTTAACATGCATCAAGCTTTCATTTTTAAGTTTAAAGACTCTAGACCAAAGGTGACAAGGCTTACCAAAGCTCAATCAGCCAACAAGAGGTGCTCTTAGAGCTCAAAAGGTCACTCCAAGGTTCTGTCTCTCTCTGCACACGAAAATGTAAGTTGAAGGTTGGTCTTTTCTCCACAAAGAACACACCGTGAAGCTTAACAAGCCAACTCCAAGGTTCCCACAACTCAACTCTCCCACTCAGCCCTCAAAGCTGACTCCCAACAGCCTCCCAATTCAGAACACCAGCTCTCTACACAATCACAAGGCCACTCACACAAGGCTCAAGTGTTTGGAGGTGAAGAAAATAAACACACAGTAAAGGAAGTGTCTTGGACCCAAAATATTATATAGAAACCCCATTTAGGAGCAGCCAATTAGTCATTATCAGCCACCCTCACACACTCACGTAGAGAAACTGTTTTCTAGGGTTTAGTGCCCACTAAGGCTTAAATAGTGGTTTAACAATTAAACACACAGTATTAAATTTAATTGCTACGCTTAGCATTTTAATCCCAAATTTTGGATTCTGAAACTAGACATTTTTCTAAGAATTACCATATTTTTTTCGTAATTTTCTGAGCACCTTTCCGGTACGCGCTTTTCTAAGCCAGTACCGGTTTCTAGCACCAGTTCTAATTATCTGGACTTGAAACTCGTTTTACAAGTCCTATATATTATCCTAGTAATTAACATGCACTTATTACAATTTTCTGGGATACTTTTTTGGTACGCATTTATACCGACTAGCAGAACCGGTATCTGCACTTTTCTTCCGAAAAGCGACTTTCAGCATTATTACTCACTTACTATAATTATTAAAGCCTCATAATAATTATTAGGGTCAATTATGGAATCATTTCCTAATTTTGCATAATTAATTAATTAAATACCTTAATTAACGGTGCGGGTTCTTACATTCACACCACCTTTTTGGGATTTTGACCTCAAAATCAGAAACATACCTGGTCGAAACTCGGGGTACTGCCGGAGAAGCTCGTCCTCACGCTCCCAAGTACACTCCTCAGGAGTCCTTCCGGTCCACTTCACCTTGACCATCGGAATGATCTTGCTCCTCAGCTGCTTCTCGCCACGATCGAGAATCTTTAGTGGTCCGACGGGAGTCTTTAAGTTCTCCCGAACTTCCACATCATCCGGTTGCACTACGTGCGAAGGATCTGCTATGTACCTCCGAAGCTGAGACACGTGAAACACGTCGTGGATGTTGGCCAGGTTCGGAGGCAAGGCAAGCCGGTAGGCAACAGGTCCTACTCTACCAAGAATCTGGTATGGCCCAATAAAGCGCGGGCTCAGCTTCCTTACTCCGAGTGCCCGTCCAACACCGGTGACAGGTGAAAGTCTCACAAACACGTGCTCACCCTCACTGGACTCCAGTGGTCGATGCTTGACATCGTAGTAGCTCTTCTGACGATTCTGCGCCTGCTTCAGCTTTTCCCTGATCATCTGGATCTGCAGGGTGGTATCTTGGACAAAGTCCAAGCCAAACAACTCACGATCCCCAACCTCCGACCAGCAGGTAGGTGTACGACACCTCCTACCGTAGAGCGCCTCGTAGGGTGCCATGCCCAGGCTAGCATGGAAACTGTTGTTATAAGAAAACTCTACCAATGGAAGGTACCTATCCCATGCCGAGCCCTGCTCCAACGTGCAAGCCCGCAACATGTCCTCCAAGGTCTGGATAGTCCGCTCAGTCTGTCCATCAGTCTGAGGGTGATAAGCGGTACTCAACCTCAAATGTGTACCAAAAGCTCCCTGCAGCGCCTCCCATAACCGAGATGTGAACTTCGGGTCCCTATCACTGATGATACTCACGGGCACCCCGTGAAGCCTCACAA